CTGTTGCTGAACAGTGCTAATAACAGTGTCAAGGCCTTCTCTATTTCTCACTCTTGCCGCCCCAGGGAGGAGGCTGGTGGTGGGCAAGAAGCTGGGAGGGGACACAGCCAGGACAGCTGACCCCAGCTGACCAAAGGGATATTCCCTACCGTATGATGTCATGTTCACAATAAGAACTGAGTGGAAGTTCTTCCAAAGTAGCTGTGGTTTGGATACTGGCTGGGCATTGGTCTGCTGGTGAGAAGTGATTGGTTTTGCATCAAATTTTTTTTTTCCCCCTTCACTTATTAAAGTGTCTTTCTCTTGACCCCTGAGGTTTTTCTCACACCTGTACCCTTCCAGTTCTCTCCCTCTTTCCTCTGGGAGGGGGGAGTTGAGTGAGCAACTGGGTAGGGGTTTACCTGCCTGCTGGGTCAGTCCACTTCAAGACCGAAGGACAGATGTAGTTTTTGAGATGGAAATGTGTATTAACACTTAATTTTAGCTGAATTGGTTTGGTTACTTCTGTGTTTCAATAGGCTGGCATTTTGACACTTGCATCTCTGCTAGGGTCTGAGATTGAACCACCAATTCATTTCTGACCATGAATAACCAGTAGAATGAAGTGAACTTCTGAGAGGCAAAACATCATCTTTCATGTTCTTTTTAGAGGTTTAGATGGAAAATAATGAGAGAAGTATAGAAATTCTATAAAACTAGCAAACCTAGAAACTTTAGAAACTAAAGGTAATTTTTTTCATAACACAAAAAGAGCTTTTAAGTCTTGGTGAATAATTTAACTATATGTTCATTAGTTTAGTAACTGACACTTGAGTTTCTATTTGATTTTTTTCTCCCCCTGCATCTAGAACTTTAAGTAATCTAAATAACCAAATCAGAATTAGGTTTAATGTTTAAAAAGTTATTTTGATCTTCAGTGTCACTTCTGCACAAATTTGTGTGGAATTTGGTAAGAAATAGAAGCATTCCATGTTGTTGTTGCTGTTGTTGCTGATCTACAGGGTGCAGAGCTTCCGATTCTAAAGTTGTAAACCCTAAGATCACTGCTGGTTTGAATGTCCCAAAACTTCAAGGGACTTAGGTGATCTGCCTTTGACAGCTGTGGTAAAAAACCAGCATCCGTTGCTTCCAGCTTCTTTTACCTTTCTTGTTTTCACTTGAAAGAATTTATTTGAAAGAAATGATGAATACATACACATATTTTTAACGGCTCTTTTTTTCACTGAAGTACTATAATCTAGAAAAACAGTTCCTGCACTCATATTTGGGGGGAAGCATCTGGCTAGGACTGTTCTTATTACTTTACAGCATTGGGTTAAATAAATAAAACGAGGTTGTAATACAAGTAATAATAGATGGTTAATGCCTTCTAATTGGCATATCAGTATTTTTCATAAATTTTTGTTCTAATCCTGAGAATGAAAAAAAGAATCGGGATAAACTGAGCAAGAATCTGGCAGATAACCAGTGGTTATACATAAACCCTTACCAGACTCGTCACCAGTGGCCAACACCAAGAGCATATTTTTGTTGAACATGATTCTGGTTGGACCAGGGATCAGAACAAGATTCACATTGATAAGCGAAGTGTCATATTCACTCAAATGACAGACTTATCCACAGAGCACCTTTCAGTGAAGTACATCTTGAAAACTACAGATGGGAAAAAGGTAGATCTTGTAACTTGAATAACAAGAAATTGACAGTTCTTTCAACTTTGGTATGAATGTTACTTCGGGCTGTTAGACATGTGGATGATTGCTCAGTTAAGGTAAAGTTTAGCCTGAGTAGGGGTACTAATAGGTATACACGAGTCTGTTCTCTTTTTAGAAATACAAACTGAATCTACAAAACAAATGGTACATGAGACAATTATAAACACTGGCTTAAATGGTAAAGAAGCTACTTTCATGTAACTATGGATTTGAGGAGCTTTAAAAATCTTAACTCTTTCACTAATTAAAAAAGTAATAAAATTTAATACTATTACATAGTATTGAACAAATACGAACAAATTGGTAAATTAATAATTTTAACCATTTGCCACTATTGTCTAGTGGGCGGGTGGGGGGATCAAAAACATTTGTTGTAACATAAACCCATTATATTTGAACAACTATAAGGAATGGCTTCATTTTTTTTATATGCACTTCAATTACAATTCTCAGTACTTCACAAAAAGGGAATCCTTGGCCATATTGTTTTTAAATCTAAATACTTTGCTTAGCTTAAGTCATCCGATTGCAGCTATTTTGGGTGTCTTTGTTCCAGTTTCTGCTTCTGAAACATTTCTGTGTCATAGTTGGAGTCCCTGACTCATCTGTAGCCATGTGTGGTTTTTGGAGTTCTCAGTTTTATCTTTTCTATAATTGAAAAGAATCTGCCTCTGAAGAATGGCCATTTTTGGTGTCCATGTATGAGGTGTTGGCCAGGACTGCCTTCTCCTTCTCCCTACATCCTGTACAGTACATTGAGTGAATTGCACAGCATCTTGAGATGAAGTTTCCTCCATTTCTAAAACATTATTCTTGGCTGCACTTCTGTAATGTTTGGCAGCCATAGCTGCTTATTTTAAGATGTTCATTAAAGAAAAAAATTAACAGGATGAGAGACAGCTGCAGGTACTGGCAGCATACAAAATTCATAATTACTAAGAGTAACTGAAGCATATTATAGTATAATTCAACCAAAAAAACAGCTGGCACATGCTATATTTGTCATATGAGAGCTTTGCAGAACGTACTTGCTACAGCTGGCGGATTTATCACCCGTCTGCCAAAATGCTAAAAGCTCACCTTTTGTTTCTTACTCACTTAACAAAGACAATATGGAGTAGGGACTGATTTGATTATTCAGCATAAGGGTTACTGCTCAATTTTAATATTAAAATGTCATAATGTATGTTTGGGGGAGGGTTAACAATCAGAATGAATCAACCGTCTTAGCTCAATAGCCATCACGTTTCCTTACGCTTACAAGGTTAAACTGTTTTCTTTAAATACATGTTCAGTGTGGTCTCATTATAAAAATAATTTCTTGATGTACAGCTCTATATGAACATGTAAATTGTTTATGGCCTGTGCTGCTAAGAATGCTAATTCTACACCTCAGTACAAGTGTAGAAGACAGATTGTTTTCAGTAACTAAGAAATTTTAATTTAAAAAACTAATCTATTTGGACAGTCTTCTAAGATGATGTAATAATAAAGATGGTGTGTCAGAATTTAAGAATTTCCTTATTTGCAAAGCCTTTTTTACTAGCATAGTTGAACATAAGCAGTCTATGCATTGTAAGGAGTAGTGTTTGAATAGTTTTCTAAGGAGCTTATTTTGAAAAGCTATGTATGAAAAGATAGGGCAGGAACTGTATAAAAATTCTGTTTTGCTAATAAAATGGCTTATAAAAACTGAACTTTCAAAAAACAGCTGTTCATTAGGGCTCCTGTATTGAAAATGCTTTATCTTGATGCTTGGTATTGATTACAGAGGAAAAATTGCAATAATAGTGTTAAGTGTTAACATACTATCTTCATCCTGCAATTTTAATCCATCTTTAATTCTTATTTTATATCAAAATGTTCACATGTGGTAACAGGTATAATCAATATATAATTTTAAGTGATTAATATCATTTAAATATCTGCCTATGTACTCTCATTTTTATAGCAGCTAGTCAAAAGATGTTCAACTGTTTTTATGATATCTAGCTGGGATTGGTTACAGGGGCTGGTTGAGAACAAGGGAGTGGAAACTACCAGCCAGGTATACTCTCAACCTTATGTTAACAGAAATATTGCAACCTTGTCTTTCAAGTGCCATATAGCAGTTTTCAGTCGAACTTGTATGAAATACTAAGTTTTAATTTTTTTAAGAGTAAATTATTGTTGAGAACTAAATGCCATCATTAAAATAGCGGAGGCTTTTTAAGATGGAGATCTGAGGTTAAAATATCTCCTACCTTACCTCCGTTCCCCCTGAAAGAATAAAGGCTTTAGCTTCCTTTACAGTGCATGTAGTTTCAGTAATAGGCAGAGCACCTAAAGGTTAGGTATTGGCTTTCTGAGCGTTGTCAACGTCCTACATATTCATGAAGGTGATTGCATTGCAGCATACTTTAAACTTGGGAAAGGAAGGTAAAGTGAGAATAGATTTGAAAAGTTCTCCTTTGCAAATATGTTGGAAGCTCAGCATAGAAGGTGAAACTGGTGGCAAGAATCTCGATCGCACCATTTTTTGTAATGTCTGTTGCTAGTGGAGTAGAGACTGGTCACAGGTCAGAGCAGTCCATTTAGTTCTGCTTCTTTCTCTGGCTAAAATTACCAAAGTTCAGAGATTTTTCCTTCTTTGGTCATCCCCTCTTCTTCAGTGGCTTGTGATGACAGGAGGTAAGAACTGTTTCCTTTGAGCACAAAGATGTCTGCCATAACCCAGATATTTTTTGTCTTCAATACTAGACAAATTCACGATCACTGAAACTCATGTAATATAAAAGTAAAAAGACCACTTTGAAGAAGGTGACCTTTTCCTTTTCTTCATGAAGTGTTATATTGTTGTCTCTCTCAGGTATAGAATGATTTGGTTTTAGGTACTTCAGAGCACCTTCAAAAATGTCCACATTGAAGTCTGGTTATGAGACACTATTTAGAATGTTAATCTAAAAACTGAGTATACTGTGCAAATGCAACTTATAGCGTATTTGATAATGTGCCTGCAAAATAAGATTCAATAAGCAGGAAAAAAAAAGTAAAATATCAAATGCTCTTGACAAAGTCCTGTTGATTCGAACAAATACATCTCATACCTCTACCATTATAGTTTTGAATATGCATCATTAAGAAGTGCTAGCTGTGTAGTGCATTTGAAATCAATGTTTTAAGAGCAATGCTGTAACTAAAAATACACCGTAAGATCCTGCAAGGTAATGAAGTACCTATGAAATTATATTCCGATAACTGATGCACTACTGTGTGTTAATCAGCATCTTTTCTTCTGATTAATAGAAGTGAGCTGAGTCAACAAAAGCTTCGTAGCCAGGAGCTCATTTCTCAGCTGGAAATGGCAAACGAAAAGGTAACCGAGGTAAGATAATGGCTGATAGGAAAACTACTTTAAGTTACAACCTGATGCATGCACGCACGCTAGGATCTTAACAGAAACCTTTTTGAATGAGTTACGTTGCTGTTTTAGAAAAAATTAAGGATTTTTGACAGTAGTAGTCATAACTGAAAAAGCTCACTGTTTCTGCTGACTGACATGTTCAAATGGCAGGAAGACAAATTAGCTTTAATCTCAAATTACAAGAAAAGGTAAAGGAGAGGTCACCTTTCAATGTTAATAATCTAGCAATTTTAGACAATTCAGGAAATGTTTCCAAAGTCACTTTGCCTATGTATGCATGCATACCTCTAAAAGTATGAGGTAGGCGTTGTGTTATGGATAATGTAGCATATGCAGAGATATCGAATTCTCAGCATACTATGAGTATAGTAGAATTTACACTGTACGTACATATATGCATATAGATAACACCATTAGCCATTAAAGATTAAGGGCAGAGTTGTTTTGGAATGTGCATTGTTCAATAATTAATGGCCACTTTAGAAAACAGCTATCCTATCAGCGTCATAAATCTGAGATAACATCCATTTCTATCTAGGATAAGTCCTTCTGTGGTTTTTTTTGTAGCGCTGTATTATTTAGCGGAGAAAAATGGGGCTGATGCGAGAACAGATTTCCATAAGTAAAGGATGGTTAAGAAAGACTTTATGCATACCCTTTGATGAAGAGAAGAAATCTGTAGCAAGTTTATCATATTCTAATCTAGTATATTCTTTTTCCCTTTATGTATAGCTAAAACATTTACCTTGTAAGATTGTGTAAATTAAATTACCTGGATTAAAATGTCAGCTTTTGTGCATCTTAATTCAAGATGGTGAAATAAGTAAAACTTCCTCTGCAGATTACTCTGATTGGAAAAGTCATATGATACCATATTTGAGCTGGAAATTCTCTGTAATGTGTCAGCAGTATGTCTTCAGTCTTATTTTAAGTGGTAAACAGTTCCGCTTGTTTTAGGCTTTTTCACTACAGTGTATATGGATCCCGTAAAAAGAACTTTGCATTTGTAATGAGATATTTCATTTACACAGGATGAAAAATTAATGATGGAATATCGAGAATACATCAATAGGCTTCAAGGGCGACTAAGCCAGGCAGAACAGAGGGCGGCTACAGCGTCTCAAAAGGTACAAAACTAACAAAATCCATGTTATCTAAGTGCATTTCAAAAATGCCATTGAATATTACAAAAATAGTCACTTTGTATCATTCCGGAGGCAGACGTGATCATTGTGTGCAGTATTACTAATATAATTTTAACAACAAGCTTGTATTTTGGATGCATCATCACAAAACTGATGCATATTCAATTAAATTCCACCTTCTGACAGGATGCTTAAATGACAGTATAGATTTGTTTATGGAAACAAATTTGATGCAAATTAAACTTGTGTGGTTCAAAATGTGTGAATGAAGGTGTATGATCATTCCATCTTCAGAAATGGCAGCAAGTTAAAGAGAAAAAAAATTCCTTTAATAACTGCAGCTCCTGTTTACAGAAAGCAGGCTTTTTTAGCTTGGTGTAACCTCCTGCAGCAGTCACAAATGATGGCTTCACGCGATAAAGAGCAAATGTTGTGCTGATTCCTACACCTGTCTCCTGGGGAGTTTGATTTAAAACAAAGTATGTCTGGAGCTGATGGCTAGAGAACTGCCTTTATAAAAATTGCGAGGCAGAAGAGCTATTTTGTGGGAATTCTGTTTGTGGGTTTTTTCCAGCCAGACAAGTTCCTTAGCCTAATTCATTGTGTGGCTGCACAAAGAGCATGGGGAAATGCTGTGCAGTAGTTGCAGGACAGAATTGATAGTGTGGACCTGTTTAGTGTTCATCAAATTGCAACCTTGAGTTCCTTCTGCCCTGTCATGTGAACTCCCAGAGTTGTTAACTTCTTGTCTGTTCACCTGCGTTTTCATTAGTGGCCTCCAGTAGCTGTGTCCCTGTGTGTTAGATGATCTTTGAGGTGCCTTCCAACTCAAACCATTCTATCATTCTATGAAGGACACCCCACTGCAGTTATCAGTAGTTATGTATAACGGACACAGTAAGTCCTGCAATGTCAAAAAATACTGAAAATTGTGCAGACAGGGTATGAAATACTTGGTTTTTTGCAGACCATGGGAAGCAGGGAAGGAAGGGATGGTGGTAGGTATCTCACTCCCATAGTGAACATTTCAGTGAGTCTGAAAACTTCGGACAAGGTGTGTCTGTTAGAGCCATTTATATGCCTTAGACCTCCTTGTGTGCCACTGTGATCACTTAATGAGCTGAATTGTTGCTGCCTTCTTTTTCCAGTTCTCTTCCAATTCAGTTCCAGCTTTGAGCAGTACTATCAAATATTTCTAGACATTGCGGATATTGAGAGGAAAGGTTTTCTTCTCTTCAGAGAGAGAAACTTAGAGCTTTAATTATCTAAACCCTGTGCTACCTGTAATTCTGTATTTTCTCGACTGGACAGTAGGTGGGCTTTTTTCCATCCAGCATTCTTTTTTCCATTCTATTCAAGCTATACAACTTGAAGTAAATCCTATGGTGTGGTTCATATAGTGGGTTCTCTTATTTGCCAAGCAAATTTGTTACTCAAGTTCGGTTCCTATTAAGTAAAGGTGGGCTTTCTGCCTCCTAATTTTTAATAGTGATTTAGAAAACTCATTTGCAAATTGTAGCTTTTTAGTGTGGGTGATCCCATGTGAGTTGCAGAGAGGAAATGTTTGGTTGATCTAAATTGTCCAATTAGGACAAATGGCATTTTTTCCCAACAGCAGTGAATAAATGGGCAGAGCTGCCAAGCTGTCATAATGTAAGCTGTGTTTCCTGGCTGTAAATGCTCTCTGTCATGACAAGGTCTACCCAGCTGGTGAAGATTTGCTCTGAAAGAGTGATTTATTTTTTTTTAACCTCTTGTTTGTTACATGGATCTGTTCAGCTCTAATACTCCTGAGGTGCTAGCTTCCCTTAAAAAAAACATGCTCATGTCACCTTTCAAGGGAGTAAATTCCTGGCC